ATCTTATCAACTGTTCCATCTGCATCTATTGATAACATCATATGATATTTATATCTGCTTTAGTTGATATAGTGTATTACATTAATTGATTTACATATATTAAAACATCTCTAGGATGAATCCCACTTCATCATGTGTCTAATTCTTGTGATATACTGTTGAATTTGATTTACTACTATTTTGTAGTTTATTTTGTTTATATTGTCAAAGAACCAGCTCTTAGTTTCATTGATTTTTTTTGTGTAATCTCATTTATTTTCACTCCTATTTTTGTTATTTCCATCCTACTGCTAAATTTAGGTTTTATTTGTTCCTTTTTTTCAAGTTACTTTAAATATGATATTAGGTTTTATATTTGGCATCTTTCTTGCTTTTTAATATGGGCCTGTATTACAATTATCTTCCCTCTTAAAACTGCTTTTGCTGTATCCCATACATTCTGGAAATTTAAATTATGATTTGCACGCATCTCAAGCTGCTTTTAATTTCTGCTTTGAGTTCCTCTTTTATACAGTTTCTACTAAGCAGCATGTTGTTTAATCTCCATATATTTATAGTTTTCCCTGTGTTCATTTTTTCTTATTGTTGATTGAAATCATCTGGTATTTTTCTTTCTCTTTCTGACTTATTTCACTTAACATAAGCCCTCCCAGTTTCATCCATGTTGTTGCAAATGGCAAGATCTCATCTTATCTTAGAGTTGAGTTATATTCTCTTGTGTGCATGTGTACCACATCTTCTTTTTTTTTAAGATTTATTTATTTTTATACAAGAGCTGGGGTACAGCTCTTTTATACTCTAGGGTACAGGCCAGAGTCTTGGGAGGATGAGAGGATTCACCAGAGACAGACTGGGGAGCAGAACAGGCAGAAGGAGCAAAATACTCTGCTGAGAGGAGCAGCAGGCGCGACAGGAGGGCTCTGCTGCACATGTGGGATTCTTCCTGGCTGGCCGAGATCAAACCCACACTGCGGAAAGCTTCACAGCGCTGCGCTCAACCTGCTGCACTCAACCTGCTGCGCTCAAGCCGCTGCGCCACTGGGGAGGCCCTACCACATCCTCTTAATCCACTGCTTTGTCAGTGGACATTTAGCTTGTTTCATAACGTGGCTATTGTGAATAGTACTGCAATAAACAGGAGTGTAAATATCTCTTCAAATTATTGCCTTTGCATCCTTAGGGTAGTTACTTATACTGAATCATAAGATAGATCTATTTTTAACATATTTTTTAAAGATTTATTTTATTTATACAAGAGCTGGGGTACAGGCCAGAGGCACGGGAGGGTGAGAGAATTCATCAGAGACAGAGTGGGGCGCAGAACAGGCAGACAGTCTGAAAAAACTGCTGAGGGGAGCAGTGGGCGACACAAGAGAGGTCTGCCTCACCATGTGGGATTCTCACTGGCTGGCCGGGAATCGAACTGGCGCTGCAGAGACTGCAGACAGCTTCACAGCCCTGCACTCAACCCACTGCACCACCAGGGAGGCCCTATTTTTAATATTTTAAGAAAACTTCATACTGTTTCATAGGGACTGGACCAGTCTACATTCCCGTGTCCTCACCAATATTTGTTGTTCCTGATCTTTTTGAGATGGGCCATTCTTACACATTTGAGAGGGTACCTCACTGTGATTTTGATTTGCATTTCCCTGATGACAAGTGATGATGAGAATTTTTCATGTATCTGTTGGCCATCTGTCTGTCTTCTTTGGAAAATTATCTGTTTAGCTCTTCTGTCCATTTTAATTGTTTTCTTGTTTTTGAGCTGTATGATTTCTTTGTAGGATCTTGGATAATTAGCTCTTTGTTGGATTATGATGTGCAAATATTTTCTCCCACTCAGTAGGATGTCTTTTTGTTTTTATGATAGTTTCTTTTACTGTGCAGAAACTTTTCAGTTTTAGGCCCATTTGCTTATCTTTGCTTGTTTCCCCTTGCTGTTGGGGTAAATCTGCTAAAGACACCATTGAGGTCAATGTCATGGAGTGTTTTGCCTGTCTTCTCCTATGTATTTTATGGTTTCAGGTCTTACTTCCAAGGCTTTAATCCACTTATATATAGTGTGAGATTGTTTCTGGAACCCAGCTGCCTAGTGGTGGGAGCCGGCAGGAGCAGTGGTGTCCTCTCACCCTGCTGCTCCACCACAAGTCAGTTGTGGCAGTTGCTCCTCAGAGCCCTTTTATGTAACAGTGTACTTCCTGGATTGTGGAATGGACCAATCAGGTGTGACCATCAGATTGATGCTAAATGGTCCAATCAGATTTGTGGGTGAAAGAGTATATAAACCAGGGTTGGAGGGAGCTCAGGGGGCCCCTGAAGAAGAAGAGAGGATGCCAGCCCCTGGAGAAGGAGATATGATGCCACCCCTTGAAGAAAAGAGGGCATTTCCAGCCTCCGAAGAAAGAAGAAAAGAAGCTAACCTTCAGCAGCTAACCTCCGAGGAGGGAGTAGAAGCTGAAGGACTCTCACAGACTGGGCCTTGGTTCTGTCTCTGACGTTGCCTGAAAGGAGCACCACAGGCCCTGGGCCTGGCGTCTCAAAGAGCTGTTCGTTGTTGGGGTAACCCAACAACTCACAAAGAGCTGTGAACACTGGGTGTCTCTGACACCACCTCTGCAGGACCAGTAGTGACCATCACTACTGGCCAGTGCTGTCCAGCACTCCTGGTGAGTGGTGGCAACCATCACTAATGCTACCTGGGTGAGAGAGCCACCAATTGAGGATGCCTTGAGCTCTTTGTTCCCCCTGATTGTAAAATAATCCCCATGGTTGTTCTTCCTGAAGCCTGAGGTCTCTTGCAATTGTGTGTGCAGGTGAGAACCCACAGACAGCGACTTGTCCTCTTATCAGATACTGTCCTTTGTTAGGCTGTAGCTCTTGGTTTTGGTTTTTGGCCTTTTGGGGCTTTTTGGTGGCTCTCTGTTCTCAGAGCCTGGGCAGGTGTGTGGTTGTTCTATCCATCTGGCGTCCTGCCTTGTGGCCTCTTTTGTGGCCCTCTCCACCCCTGTTTCAAGGTAGTAGTCTAATTTCATTCTTTTGCATATGGCTGCCCAGTTTTCCCAATACCTTTTGCTGAAGAGAATACCCTTTTTCTATTTTATATTTTTGGCTCCTTTGTCATAAATTAACTGCCCATCTAAGTGTGACTTTAGGATTCTCAGTTCTATTCCATTAGTCAGTGTATCTATTTTTATTCCTGTAATATACTGTTTTGATTACTATAACTTTGTGGTATAATTTGAAGCCAGGAAATATTATACTTCTGTTCTTTTTTTTCTGATACTCTGGCTATTCAGGGTGTTTTGTGGTTCCATATGAATTTTAGTAATTTTTCCTCTATTTATCTGTAAAATGACCACTGACATTTGGATAGGGATTGCACTGAAACTGTATATTGCTTTGGTTGACATGGCCTTTTTGACAATTTTGATTTTTCTAATCCATGAGCAAGAAATATCTTTCCATCTTTTTTTTTTTTTAAGATTTATTTATTTATGCATACAAGAACTGGGGGTAAAAGCCAGAGGGGTATGTGTGTGGGCGGGGGGAATGAGAGGATTCACTGGAGATAGAGTGGGGAACAGAACAGGCAGATTGACTGAAACGCACTGCTGAGGGGAGCAGCAGGAAAGTCAGGAGAGATCTGCTGCGCCATGTGCGTAGATCCCTGACTGGGGATCGAACTCATGCTGCAGAGGCTGCGGACAGCTTCATAGGTTGTGTCTCAACCTCTTGCACCACCAGGGAGGTCCGCTTACTTTCCAGTCTTATTCCATATATTTATTTTTTTTTTCTCATTTCATTTTCTGGGAGCATCACTAAAATATTAACTAGCAATAGTCAAAGTAGTCCTGTCTTTCCTTTCATTCTCTTTTATATGAAATATTCTAACATTTTGTTATCAAGTACAACATTACCAAAAATTTGGTGGTTGAAATTTACCAGTTAAGGAAATTGCCCTAGTTTGGTAATATTTCTGTAAGTTAGAAAGGCATATTTCATTTCAGCAAATACTTCTTTTCTTTGCATCTATAAAGATGACTGTGTGTTATTTCTCCTTTCTAGTCACAGTGACTGTCATTGGAAAATTTCCTTATGTTAGAAAATCTTACATACCTTGGATAACATATATTGATTATTATACAGTGCTGGATTTGATTTCTGTATTTAACTTAAAAAACTTAAAATTCTATATAGCTGAAATTGGTCTACACATATTTTCCAATATTTTCTTTAATTGGTTTTGGTATTGAAATTATATCTGTCCACTAAAATAAAGTTTTTTAAAATAAGATAGGCGAAATGTTTAGAATATAGGAAAGACTTGATTATAAAACTATTTGAGCTTTTTGTCTAATTAGGATTTAGAGTTTTGCCTGGCAATACATTTAATTTATTTAATGGTTCTTTTCTATTTGTTTTTGAGTCAATATTAGTAATTCATATTTTTACAAATATTTTCTCTGCTAATTATATTTTCAAATTTAATCAAATAGTTATTCATATTGTTTTCTTACAATTGACAGACATCTCAACTTTATCGTAATTTTATCTCTCCATTCACAAGTATGACAACTCCCTCAATGTCAGCTGGGGCTGACACTGCCTTTAATGACCACTTTGTCAAGCTTATTTCCTGGTATAACAATGAATTTGGCTGCTGCAACGGGGTGATGGGCCTCATTTAAATTTTTTTAAATTTATTTTCAATTTATATATGTTAAGATTCACTTAGGCAAATAGAATTGTGACTAGATTAAGATGTAGAATGGGTCCTTCAGCCCGCTAGCTGCCACCAGGACCCGATGGCAGGATGCTCATCGCGATGCTTAACTGGTTGCAGTGTCTTTTGTGGTGACCAGGCCACCACGTTGCAAGTGGGAAGAACATGAATGAATAACCATTAGGAAACCTCCCCTGGCTCCTTGGTCTTCCTTGCCTCTGACTGATACTCCCGCCTCCCTTGCGGGGTGGAGCTTCTTTTATCCGGGAAGCCAGATCTGGCCATATTGGCTGCCTGGTCACTGGGACTGCTTTCAACTCTGGCAAAGTGGACATTGTTGCCATCAATGACCCTTCATTGACCTCATCTACATGGTTTACATGTTCCAGTATGATTCCACCCATGGCAAGTTCAATGGCACGGTCAAGGCGGAGAAGGGGAAGCTTGTCATCAAGGGGAAGTCCATCTCCATCTTCCAGGAGCGAGATGCCGCCAACATCAAGTGGGGTGATGCTGGTGCCGAATATGTTGTGGAGTCCACTGGAGTCTTCACTACCCTGGAGAAAGCCAGGGCTCACCTGAAGGGTGGGGCCAAGAGGGTCATCATCTCTGTCCCTTCTGCTGATGCCCCCATGTGTGTGATGGGGGTGAACCACGACAAGTATGACAACTCCCTCAAGATTGTGAGCAACACCTCCTGCACCACTAACTGCTTGGCCCCCCTCACTAAGGTCATCCACAACCTCAGCATCGTGGAGGGGCTCATGACCATGGTCTACGCCATCACTGCCACCCAGAAGACCATGGCATGATGGCCGAGGGGCTGCCCAGAACTTCATTCCGCTTCTACTGGCAACGCCAAGGCTGTGGGCAAGGTTATCCCTGAGCTGAGTGGGAACCTGATCGGCATGGCCTTCTGCGTCCCCACGCCCAATGTGTCAGTTGTGGATCTGACCTGCCACCTGGAGAAAGCTACCCAGTATGACAACATCAAGAAAGTGGTGAAGCATGCCTCACAGGGCCGCCTCAAGGGCATCCTGGACTACACCGAGGATCAGGTTGTGTCCTGCGATTTTAACTGTGACACCCATTCCTCTTCCTTCGATACTGGGGCCAATTGCCCTCAATGACCACTTTGTCAAGCTTATTTCCTGGTATGACAATGAATTTGGCTGTAGCAACAGGGTGGCGGGCCTCATGGTACACATGGCCTCCAAGGAGTAAGAGGCCCCGGACCACCACCAGCCAAAGTGAGAGCACAAGAGGAAGAACTAGGCCCTCAGCTGCTGGGGAGTCCTTCCGTCACTCATGCACACAGAGAATCTCCTGACCTGTCACAATTCCATCCCAGATGCCCTGGAGAAGGGGAGGGGCTTAGGGAGATCTGCCTTGTGTCATGTACCATCAATAAAGTACACAGTACCCAGCCAAAAAAAAAAAAAAAAATTAAGATGTAGAATGGGTCCATTACGTCCTCTCCAAATGACCTCCTGCTGTCCCTGTAGTCAATTATTTTCTCTACTTTTGGTAACCATCTTTTTAGCTTCGTCTTTTTCAAAACTCCATAAAAATGATCTTTTACTTACTGTAATATGTTTGAGAGTCTTCCAGGTTGTTGCTATGTATCAGTAATTTATTCCTTTCTACTGTTGAATAATACTCCGTATGCCAGTTTTTTTACTTCAACTATCAATTGAAGATATTTTTGGCTTTTCTAGGTTTTTTGGTGATTATGAGTACAATTACTATAAATATTTATATACAGGGTTAGAAATATAATTGATTTTTTTCTATATTGATATTGTATCCTCTGATCCTGCTAAACCCATTTATTAGTTGTAGGAGATTTTAAAAATTGGTTCCTTGAAGGTTTTTATCATAGAACTCATGTTATCTGTTGAAACAGGGACATTTACTTCATCCTTTATAATGTATATTTTTTTTATATCTTTTCCCTGCCTTTTTGTACTAGTTGAAGCTGCCACGATGGTGTTGAATAAAAGTGATGAGCTCAGACTCCCTACCTTGTTTCTGACCTTAGGGGTAAAACATTTCAACTCTCATTTTTTAATTTAATGTTAGCTATAGGGTTTTATTCCTTTTGGTGGGATAGGATTCACTAGGTTAAAAAGATTCCCTTACATTCCTAGTTTGCTGAAATTTTGAGAAATTTTAAGAAATTATGAATGGATAAATTTCAACAAATGCTTGTTCTGCACCCACCACATAATTTTCTTCTTTAGTTTGTTAATATGGTGTTTCATGTTGATTGCAAAGAACTAACCTGGAGTTCCCAGGATAAACTTCATGCAGTCATTATGTATTATTCTTCTAAGATATTATTGGAATTGATTTGAGAATTTTTGTGTATAGATATCAGAGGTATTGGTCTGTAGTCTCTCTCTCTCTCTCTATCATCTATCATTTGTCATGTTTGGAATCAAGGTAATGTGGGTCTGACAAAATTAGCTTGGAAATATTAATTCTTTTTCTATGTTCTAAAATATATTGTGTAGTACTTGGGCTTTTATCCCATAAATTCAAACTGACAATCTCTCTCTTTTACTTTATGCGTTTAGATCTTTTACATTTAATATTATTATTGATTTGTTTGCATGTAGATCTAATATTTTACTGTTTGTTTTTTGTTTGCTCTACTTTTTGTTTTTCTCTTTTTCTCTTTCTTGTCTGCTCATTAGTTGAGTTTTTTTTTTTGGGGGGGTACATTTCATTTTAACTGTATTTATTTGTTATCTATTTTTGTATTGAGATAACATTGGTTCACAATCCTGAATATGATTCAGAAGTAGAGGATCACACCTCTTCAACTTTATGTCCCCACCAACCACCAAGGCACCCAGGGTCCTGCAATATAGTCCATTAGGCCCCTCTACCCTCTCCCTCCCTCTCTGGAAACCTTAATTATTTTCTTACTGTTATTGAAATACCATTATTTTACATCCTTGCTAGTCTTTTGACAGTATAGGATTCTCCCTTCCCCCCCAGGGTAGTTGCTATAGCCCTCCCAACTCTGAAACTCCTGTATTTCTCCACCATAGTCTGTTGTTTTCACCCCCACGTTCCCCTATTTTCACATCTGCCCCCTCTGAAATGCCCAATTTTGAAAGGTTGATTTTAAAGTTTGTCTTTGGCCCTTTGTTTGGGTTCTCTATATTTCACACACATATTAGTGATACCAGTATTTTCTTTCTCCTGGATTGTTTCACCTAGCATAAGCCCTTCCAGCTCCATCCATGTTGCTGCAGATGGCATGAATTATTATTGTTGCATTGCTGAGTACTATTTCATTGTGTGTATGTACCATAGCGCTTGATCCATTCATCTGCTTTTGGGCATTTAGGTTGTTTCCATATCTTGGCTACTGTAAATAGTGCTGCTATAAACATGGGAGTGCATTCATGTTTTTGTATTTTGGGGGGTAGATACCTAGGAGTGGGATTGCTACATCATAAGGCGGATCCATTTTTAGAGCAGGCCCTATGGAAGTGTAAGAGGGTTTCTTTTCCTCCACACCCTTGCCAGCGCTTCTTGTTTCTGGTCTTTTTGAGATGGGCCATTCTCAATGGTGTGAGGTGGTATTTTACTCTTGTTTTGACTTGCATTTCCTTCATAAGTGATGATGGACATTTTCCATATGCCTGTTTGCCATCTGTATGTCTTCTTTGGAGAAGTGCCTATTTAGCTGCTCCATGTGCTCTTTTTTTATGGTTGCTTTGGAATTGTTCACTTTTCAAAAAGTCTTCAATCAGTTGCTTTTTGTATTTTGACCAGAATTTTTAGTCGCTGGTGGGAACGGTAGGCTATACTGTGCTTATTCAACCTTGGCTGCCCAAATACTGCCTTTTCAAAAGTTCAATCTTGCTATTATTCTTCATGTATTTTTCCAGACAAGTATCTGCCTTATTGTTCTTTAAAAAAAGATCCTGGCCTTTGTTGTATTGAATATCTGTCTTAGTAGTGTTGTTTGTTTTTCTCCTAATGAAATTCTGCAGAAATCTCTGTTGGTGCCCTTACTGAATGCCTTTGTACCCCATTTGCCAGTTTGTGTGCCCATCTCCTGGCTTTTGTGTGCTTTGCTGTTGAAGGTTTGCACTTGAAATCTTCAAAGGACGGCTGTTGGCCTGAAGCCATCTGCTGGTGTGGTGCACTAGAAGTGCCCGAAGTTTGCATCCCTCCTTCAGCCAGGGACTGGCTGGTGTGGGAACAGAGTCTCCACTTCTTTGCAACAAAACATATTATCTCTTTTTTCTTGTGCTTTCCTGGTTTCTTCTGGGATGACTTCCTTAATAAGCTCCTCACATTCTGCTAATCCTTACTGCAGAGGATTTTTTTTGAATTTACTTTTTTGAATTTACTCTTTTTAACTTGTAAGACTAACTCGTTTATTTATTATTCTCTTTATTTTTTATGTAAATGAATTTACCAAGAACTTATCCCACAGCTTATGGTATGTAGAACTTTTTTCATTTAGCCACAGATATTTTAATTTATCCTTTTTTTTTTTAAACACAAGTGATTTAGGAATGCCATTAAAATGTTGAAGAGGTTTGTTCTAAAAATCTTTTGTTAAATTCTAATTTAATTGCATTGGGGTCTAAAATGATATTTATTGCTATTCGATTCCTGAAATTTGTTGAGATTTCTGTTTTGTCTACTACTGTAAGTTTGATTACTTGTCAATATTCTTCATTTTTCTATTCGTTAACTGCATGGTTCTCATTTTCTGTATCCTAAGTAGTTTTGTCTGAAGGACCAGTTTCTGATACAGTGAATTAGAATTCCTGCCCTGATTATAGATTTGTCAGCTCCTTCTGGTAATTCTATCAGTTTTAAATTGTGTATTTTGGGACTATGTTGCCATGAGGTATATATAATTTATGACTATTATATCTGCTTGGTGAGACTTTTCCTTTTATTTTTATTTTTATTTTTTTTTTTTAAAAGATTTATTTATTTATTTGTTTGTTTATTTATACAAGCACTGGGTACAGTCAGAAGCGCGGGAGGGTGAGAGAATTCACCAGAGCCAGAGCGGGGAGCAGAACAGGCAGAAGGACCGAAGTACACTGCTGAGGGGAGCAGTGGGCGGCAGGAGAGGTCTGCGGCCATGTGGGACCCTCACCCGGCAGCCGGGGATCGAACTGGCGCTGCAGAGGCTGCGGGCAGCTTCGCAACCCAGTGCTCAACCGCTGCACCACCGGGGAGGCCCCGAGACTTTTCCTTTTATAATTACATAGTATTCTTTAAAAACACCTTTTGTTTCAAGTTCAATATTATCTGCTACTAATATTGTTATTCTTGTTCTGCCATTGTGCCAAGGAGATCTTTTCCATTCCTCTACTCTTTTTTTTTTCTGGGTTGTTTGTATTAGTGTCTCTTACAGAAAGTACCATATTACTGGTTTAAGAAAATTGCAGTCTGTAAGTCTCTGCTTTCTAATTTGAACTTCAGTCTATTTTTATTTATTATGATTAGTGATTTGATCATTTTGGATTTCCTTTTTCTACTTATTTTGTATGTTTTCTTCGCTACAATTTTTCATTTTTTTCTCTCCAACTCCCTTTCTGTTTTACAGATGTTACTAAAACTGCTATTTTTTTCCTCTGTTGATTTCTAGATTATTGCTTTTATTTTATTTTAAGAGATTAACGATTATCCTTATTTTTTATTAAATACATTTTTGAAGTTTAAATTGAGTGAAGTTACAAAACACAAAACAAAACAATCATCAGCATTTCTACCACCAGAAATTCGTCACTTAATTCCTTGACATGTTTGCTAGGAACCCAGTGTATATTTTTACAAAAATGAAACATGCAATTATAAAGACTTCAAACCAGACAGGAATGTACAATGAAGGAATTTAAATGAAAAAATACCACAATCTCAATACCTTAGACAACATAAGTCCAGACACTGCACATACACGGATGCAGGCATTATGGATGCGCTGACAGGTGTTATCATCACAAAAATCTCATCCTCTCAAGATGTCCTTTCAAAGAATGAAGTATACTAGAACTTACAAGAAATATGACTGAAGTAAAATAGTGAAACTTCAAATATTAAATAATTGTTAACAATTATTTTCTAGAAGATCCCTTAAAAATAAAGTGGGGAGGGAGCAGCAGGGACGATGATGGTGGACTGTGGGTGCTTTGGTGGTGAGTCACCAGGGTATTAACACCTGAAGGGGGATCCTA